TTTACACGTTTATGCAACAGAATTGAGAATTTACATGATTTATCTCGTAATGTAAGAAGCTAAAATCCCAGTTCAGCCTAGCCAGGCTTCCCATAAACGCCCGGAGTGACACCCTGCAGTCAGTCTCATGCCAACTTGGGAAGCCCATGTGTTTTACCATGTCTTACAATGAATACACACGTAAGTCTTATGGATATTTTACCGATTCGTGTTTATGTAAGGAAAATATTCTAAAACACGTAAATGTGTAGAAAGGCATACTAAAAATGTTCAGCAAAGTCTGTTGAAAATGTCTACAATTGACTCTGCAGCTAGGTAATTTAGTAACTGAATTTATATCCATGTGAAGGAAAGATAGGGAGGTGGGGTGAGGGAGAGAGAGAGAGAGAGAGAGAGAGAGAGAGAGAGAGAGAGAGACTGAGCAAGCTCACTAGAGAGACAGAGCCAGACAGATACACTTCTTAATTGGAGGCGGTTGTTAATTTGGGTAATAGACAATTCCAGGTACATCTCTGGCTCCTTCCTCATTAGCTAAATCATTATTCATGTCAGCAATTCATAAAGTTTGAAGCTTGTGTCAAAAACTCATAAATACTGTGAGCCTCTGCATTACTTTATGTCTTTCACTGCTGGGGGGGGGGCGGTTGTGTGTGCCCCTGGCAGAAGGATATCGTGGAACGACGGCAGGTGTGCGGAACATACTTCCGTATCCAACATATCCAAGGCTCACCCTACAGGAGGCATGTTTCTTCTTGTTCTCTCCTTTCTTTTCCTTTTCTTTCTCCTATCTTTTTCTTTTTGCTTTTTTTGGTAACAGGGTCTCACACAACTAAGTAAGCCCTTTAGCATGGCCTCACATCCCTGGCCCATTTTCATTTTTGTTCCTTTGTTTATTTGTGTTTTAGAGATAGAGTCACACTAAGTCGTCTGGGTTGGCCTTGAACTCTAAAGCACAGGCAGGTCTGAACTTGCGATTCTGGTCCCCTCACCTCAGCCGCTGGGATACCAAGGATCATAGGCCTACACAATTCGTCTACACTTGGAAGAGTGCTGCCCCCAAACACCAGCTGATGTTGACGTTCACGTAACTGTGGTGTCGACTGTGATGGGTTTTCATGTGCGGAGTGGGGCTTGGGGTAAGACCTCCAAACACTCCCCCTGGCTGTTGTATCTGCTGTGGGATTGTATCCAGATGGTGTGATTTCTCTGAGCTTCGTTTACATGTGTGGAGTGAGGGCATTTGCATGATGTGCTCATGGAAAACGCCTGACCACCACCGGTCAAGGGCTTTCACCTCAGGGTCCCCAGCACACTCTGCCCTACTCCGCTCCTCTCTGCTGCGGTCGCTCTTCTCCCTACTCTGACCCCTTTGCCAGACCCAGGCCTCTCCCTATCACAGAATGCCCTTCCCTCCATCGGCCCACAGAAGCTGATTGTCACCGTTTAGCACGGAATTAGCAATCCACCTGATACATCTTCCATTGCCCACATAAATTTGATTTGTATTATTTTTGATGACAAAGAGAAGTCCTTTTTTTTAAATTAGTTATTCCTAGATGTAAGTGCCTCATTGACCTTCTGAGAATACCTTGCCACTTTGACCCCACATTAAAGAGGGTGAATGCATAAGTAAAGGTGTTTGTAGTGATATTTCAGTTGCGTTTTAATAAATAAAGCTTGCCAGAAGTTCAGAGCATAAAACAGCCCCACTGGTCATCCTTACAGACCAGGCAGTGTGGCACACACCTTTAATCCCAGTAGCCACACTAGTTCTCCATAGAAATCAGGTGGTAGTGGTGCACACCTTTAATCCCAGCACTGGAGAGGAAGATAAGACTGGAGAAGAAGGCTCTCAGTCTCAGTCTCATTCTGAGATCTCTGGGGCAGGATTGTCATTTTGGACTGAGGTTGAGGCTGATTGTTTTGCTTTTCTGACCTTCAGGTTGAACCCCAGTTTCTGTGCCTGGGTTTGTATTAACCGTGCTACAGGCATATTGTCACGGGCACACAGTCAGCACACAGCAGCTCCCTGGGAGAGCGGGGACAGTTACAGGCACCCACCCATTATACACTTCACTTAGTGGTGTATTCCCAGGCCCAAGTCCACTCTTCCCAATACACTCTCCAGATTCTTTTCCAGCATGTTCTGTTTATAATTTTTCAAGTTATTTTTTTCTTTTGCAAGAGTTCAGAATTGCCTTTTCTCCCAAGCAAATCTTTCCCAGTTGATGCTGGAAGATTCCAGCAAATGTCCTCTGTGCCTGTGTTGCCTCCTTTATCACAAACATGTCTGCACGGGGAGAAGATAATTCCTTCATTATATAAAAATTGTTCCTCTGCCTTAATCTCTCAAGTGGAGCTAAAATATTTCTTCTCTGTCCTCGCTATTTTGTTTGTTTGCACGGTTTTCTCTGACTGATTTGGGTACCGAAATGCCTTTTCTCAAGTGGGAGCGAATCCAAACATTCAGGTCCATCACAGCCCTGAAGGGCATGGTAGCTGGCCGTGGGTAGGCTAGCTCACAGTACTAAGTGACGCTGCTCTGCACCCTTCCGTCTGATGCTAAGAAAAACTGCTCCTGTTGCTTGCTCACTGGATCCTTTAATCAAAAACAAAATTCTGAACTGGAAATAAGTTCAAGGCAGAGTAAAAGTGAGTCTGTCTCAACCAGGCAACGCCAAGGGAAAGGATGGATGAGCGGCTATGCCCATATCTGAAAACACGTCCTTAAATGTCACCCTGTTGTCTGTGGGTAAAGAGCGGACGTATACAGGCCATAACTTGACACACAGACATGTTAATCTAAAATAGTGTACAACCGCCTATGGTTAGAACTCAGAGGACAGAGTGCTTGCCTAACGTGCACAAGGCCTGGAACACCTTTGTAATCCCAGCACTTGAGGTTGGGGACAGGAGGATCATCTTTGACTATACTGTGATTTAAGGCCAGCCTGGAATTTTGTCTAAAAATTTAATAACAAAAAAGATACCCACTTGGGTAGGATTGGGAATAGAGTATACAGTGGGTCACATTGACATACCTGGAATTTTCTAGAATGTGCAAGAATATTACTTAAAACTTAGACCGCTCTAGGCTTTAGAGTTCCACAGATATGCAGTGAGGGATGTCATCGGCATCCAATGTTACTGTTAGTCTGTGCACACAAACCTGCCAGCTCGCTTCTAGCACCGAGCAAAGGTAGCTAAACCTAGGAGTCACAAAGCACAGACTACTCTGAGACCTTGGCTCGACTGACACCAGAAACCCTGCGTCTCGGGTCATACGCGGTCACACAAGCATAGGTTGGTCAAGGGCATCTATAACCCCTGCTTTGCCCCACAGTGCAGCTTAGGCACCACTTCAACTTTCCTTCTTCTCAAACGGATGCTTCTGTCCTTTATTCCGGGGCATCAGCTGCTACACTCTGGGCCCCTATGAGACGCCCACCCTGGCTTCCCAGCTGAAATAGAAAGTTCCTCGGCAGTCTTTTCTTTGTGGTTGTGTTGAGATCCTTCAGAACTCCACACAAACAGGCCCAAAGCCTTAGGGCAAAGGCGTACCACTGGTGACCGTGTGAATGGACGTCTTTGGCCATCTACATTCATACGTGAATGTCATGTTACTTCCCCCCTCCTTTAGCAACCTTTCCTTCAAAAGAATAAAACTTTATTTTTATGAAACTGACGAGATGTTATGAGACTATCCCGAAACAATCAGATCGTCGTGAGTGCACTTTGATGAACGACCCTAGCCAGTCTGTTTATGGTTGTCTGTTACGGCTGCATACATCCTGGAAAACGTTTTCTGATTAAGCACGGCATAACTACTAAGAATGAAAGCTGGGAGATCGATAGATTTAGACTTCAAATTCTGTACATTTCCACTCATTTTCATACTTATTGTTCTTGAGGAAAAAAAATAATGTGGCCCGTCAACATACTCTAAATGTATGCTGAGAATCAGAGCTGAAAGAAAAACAAAGTAAATTGCTTAGAAAATACATAAATTTGTTAAATACTTGTCATTTTATTCATTTTATCCAGTTTTATGATGTATTGATATACATTTAATGCTAAATTATCCATTTTGCAAGGTAGGATATAATGGATGAAATGTTACTTTAATAGTGTTATTTACCCCCTGGAAACAAACAGAATTTACCCCTTGGAAACAAACAAGACCTGGGGGAAGAAATGGATTTCACTGATCTATGCTACTTCATTAAATTTAGATGTAGTTCATGGCAGAAAAAAAAAAGTGAATTTTCAAATGTGTACTCCCTCCAGTAGCCACCACATAGAAAGAGATCAATGAAGCCACGTGTTAGTAAATGACGTAAATACTTAGCAAACATAGATCACACTGAGTAAAAGGTCAGGCCCTGGTGAAGGGACCCTCCGTCCTCCAAACAAGTGGAGCATATTGCGTCTGATCTGTGCTGAGTGCTTCCGCTTTGGGTGAGGTTTTCGGTGCCTTTGATGTGAGTCATCAACGCAGATACCCATCTTTTTTGTTGTTGTTGCTCTGTGCGCTGGGGAAAGCAGGCAGTAACCAGCTCACAATCTTCTGCAGCCCCTGCGGGTCGTCCTTGCAAAGCCCTTAGCGCCATCTAGTGTCCAAGCGAGGTATGAGACGTGGGAGAGCTGGGGAAGCAACTGGATTTCTCTACACACCGCTGTGAGTGAGCACAGTGAACAGGGGGCTTATTGCGTCTTTACTTCGTATACCACTGAATCCTGAAAATGTTAGCTTCTGATCAAATCCAGAGTGCTTCCAAGTAAATACTTTTCATTCTTGTGGGACTGTGTCCAATACTGTGAGCTCTCACTGCAGATACACATAGCTGCGTTATTCCCACGCAAAGATGCGCCCGCTGAGCTGTCTCCTGACCTGTGTGAAAACAAAGCATGCTCTCCCAGTCCAGCCTACCCCTTACAAGAGACGCAGCTGTATGTAACCTCTCCTCCACATCGCTGATTCTTCTCTTCTTTCTTTTCAGATTGTCTACAAAGCCTGGCTCTGCTCCCAGTATTTTGAAGTCACACAGTTTAACTGCAGAAAGACAATTCCATGCAAGCAATATTGTTTGGAGGTGCAGACCAGGTGTCCGTTCATATTGCCCGACAATGACGAAGTCATCTACGGAGGCCTCTCCAGCTTCATCTGCACAGGTACGACTGGGGGGGCGGGGCTTGCTTTGGTCTCCGTCCATCTGTTGCTTCCTTTTGCTCACAGAACCTGGAGCCTGCACAAATGTGTTTTTAGGCGGCCTCTCTTCTAGAAGCACAGAAAAACTTCCCAAAGTGACCTAAACAGGAGTCAACCTCTCCCCGACACATCAACCCTGCAACTGTGACTCTCTGTGAAGGTTCCATGAGGATAACGGCAGGGGGAACATACTGACATGGTTCCTGTGTGCGTGTGTGTGATGAAGTTTGTCACCATGTCTTAATCGGTATTGTGAGCAAAAAGAAATGTCTACCTGGGTCACACGTGCACCTATTGGTACATAAGAGTCCCAGGCAGGTTTTTCTGTATTATATATTTCTACTTCTTTTGGCAAAATACTTGGACCAGGCAGGATGTCAACACCAGCACCTGTCTCCAGAATCCCATGAGCATTATGTAGTTGAGGCAGACGTGGAATCCAAGGTCAATGCTCAGAGCCGTCTCCGTCTGAAACAGCTTGGCCATGAGAACAAGAGACCATGTTCCTTACTAGAACATGGTCCCCCCCTGAGTTCCTAATGTACTCTCAGAGGAGGAGGGACGCCCCAAGTTTTTAAACTATTTGGCTTGATTCATCTCATGTTTAATGTTAGAGTTTTGAGCATGAAAATAAGTCTGGGGAAACCAGAAAGTTCTCTCTGTATTTGGGCTTTCAAGCATTCCCTTGAACAGTGGAAGAACGAGAAAGGTGTGGGCAGGCAGGTACCGGCTGCTCATCCTGACTACCTGGAACTCAGTCGCTGGGACCAAGATGGCAGCAGGAGAAAGCCCGCCCCTTCACATTGTCCTGTGATCATACATGCAGGCATATGCACAAAATTAATTTAAAAATTAACAAATATAATAAAAAATAAGAGGCTGAAAAGAAGGCTGAGAGATTAAAAGCACTTGTTCTTGCAGAAAACCTGGGGTTGCTTCCCAATAACCCCACTGTGGGACACATAGAGCACACAGACATACATGTAGGCAAACCACTAATATACATAACATAACATAAATAAATCTAAAAATAAATAATAAAATAAAGCAATGACAAGTCGATATGCTCATTATGACAGTGTATCAGGGGCCCTGAGAGCCTGCCCTGGGTGGCAGAGGTGCATGTGTCCCATCACACAACCAGGCAATAACTGTCCCCAGCGCAGGCCTCTGCACATGCTGAGAGGATGTGGATGAGGGAGCACACAAGCTTGGTAGTAACAGGCAAGAGAGAGAGAGTGGTTCAGGGAGAGGGAGGAGGAAGATGAAGAAGGAGAAAAGGGAAGGGAAAAAGGAGGAGAGAAAAAGAGTAAGAAACAAGAAGAAGAGGGGAAAATCTTGTTTTCTCAGTGGAAAAATTCAGCAGAAATAGGCTTTAATTTATATTGACTTTCCCATAGAACTTTCCATAATGCCCATAAAAATGAAATCTTGTATTCTAAAATTCTTGTCCGAGGGGTGCTTGTGGCGTCTGACCCTTTGTGACAGGCTGTATCTTAGCTCCTTCCTTCACATCATGCAACCCCTCCCTCTGTGACAGGCTGTACCTTAGCTCCTTCCCTCATATCATGCAACCCTCCCCTGGTCTGCTCAGCAGATTTCACCAGGAGCTCATGGAGACGAAAGCCCAGAGAAGGTACAGGGTTCATGTGTTGACCTATCATCTCCCGTCTCTATTCACGTGTGGAGAGTTCTTTGCTCTGGACATTTCCAAGCTATTGGGTTGCAAAGGCAGTCACAGGTATCTTCTGCACCAAAAGGTCTTGTGTACAGCTTGCCTTTTTAGTTGTTTGGGGTTTTGTAAACTCTTCTGGTTTGTAGCTGCAGTGGCATCTCTAAGGAAAGGTAACAGAGAAATCTCTCACTGGCCTAGAAGAACGCCGGCTCCTTGGAGGTCTTTGGAGTTGTTTGGCACTGAGCGCTCAGAGGCCGCTCTGCTGTTTGCTTTCTGTCAGCCTTGGGACCCTTACATCACCAAGCTCAGAATGCTACAGTTAGCTTCCCAGGCACAGCACTGAAACACTGTGAGCTCACACAACAGGAAGAATTGTGGCTCTCTTCTGGGGTGGAACAAGGCTTTGACAGAAACTCTGTGTCCAGGCTGATCACTGGCAACTGTCACCCCCACCTGAGGCTGCAGAGTCGCTGAGAGACCTTATGCTAACACATGGATGCTCCTCCTTGTTTCCTAGCCAGATGTGTAGAGTTCCATGTATGACCAAAACCAGACTCCACTTTTGGAAAATCAAGACAGCCAGGCAGACCTCTACTGAAGCTCACAGCGCCCAGGCTGGATTTGCTTCTGGAAGAGCAGGGTCTGCTGGAGCTCAGCGCTCTCTGCCCAACTGCCGCATAAATGCTTTCTAAGTTATTTGTTGAAGATCCACACAGACCCACACACACCTTGAAGTGTGTGTGAACCAGCCATACTCCTCTCCGTGCAGTGAATGAAAATTCTTGTAAAGTTAGGAGGGAGTGGGCTCAAAAAAGAAGTCAGGTGTAACCTCTTTACCGTGGCTACTGGTATGCCAAGGCCACCTGGTTGGCTTCTCACGGTAGGCACACAGGCACACATACAGCACAGAGCCCACAGCAAGCACTTAACAGTCTATAAAATAACACAAAATAACAACAAAAGCCCACCATCGAAGTCAGGACAGTTGCTCCTTCATTGCGACTTGTGAAAACGAAGTGGTGTATGTGAACAGGGGCTGCTCGTTTGTATCCCGGCCGCCCTGACCCGAATAATCACATGAAAGCTATATTAATTCCAACACTGTTTGATCTATTAGCTCAGGCTTCTTATTAAGTAACTTTCACATCTTAAATTAACCCATTTCTATTAATCTGTGTATTGCCCTGAGGCTGTGACCTACTGGTAAGGTCCCAGCTTGTCCTTCCCCTCAACAGCTACATGGTGTCTCGTTGACTCTGCCTATTCTCTCTCTCTCTCTCTCTCTCTCTATATATATATATATATATATATATATATATATATATATTCTGCCCTGCCAGAGGCCAAAGCAGCTTTATTCATTAACCAACAAAAGCAACACATAGACAGAAGGACCTCCCACATCAAGTGAATAAGGTCATTTATCATTAAGTTTTGCAAGATTCTAAGTCAATGGTTCACAATCTATGGGTTGTGACCCCTTTGGGGATCACACTTTAGATATTTACATTACAATTCATAACAGTAGCAACATCCCAGTTATGAAGTAGCAGCAGACACAGTGTTATGGGTTGGGGCCAGCACAGTGTGAGGAACCGCATTAAGGGGTTGCAGCGTTGGGAAGGTAGCGAGCCACTGCGCTAAGATCCGTTCACAAGATGATGCTCAAACCTGATGCTGTTATTAATCTAAGAGCCAGAGACCAGACAGGTCGTAGACCTGGGGAGAACCTAGTGCTATCACTTTGATAAACAGACATGTATTTGAGTTCTAACGAGTGATCCACAGAGCCGCACATTCGTGCGTCTCTCAGCCCTCTCCAGAAAAGCTGTCACTTGCAGTAGACGGTGGCTAACAACTGGTGGAGGTGTAGAGAACAAGAGACCAGGGAGACCTCAGCCCTAAATGTGACATCCACATCACATCCCCTCCTTCCAGGGCTTGGGATGACAGCAAAAGAGACAGAAGGATCTTAAGAACCAGAGAAAATACACGATTTTTGGGAAAGAATGTGTTGGAGGTGAGGGGACAGAGGATGGAAGCTGTACATAGTAGCTCACTTTCGTCACATCGTGCACAAGAAATGTCGTGCTCAAACCAAGCAAAAGTGGTGCATGCTGAGAGGAGGTGGACCCAGAGTCCCTCCCCTGGGTGAGTGACTATTGGTGGTTGATTGCTGCTAGGAGAGTGAGGGACAGTTTCCTTTAGAGTGTGTCCCCTGGATCATACTCCAGGGGGAAACTATACACCAGAGAATCTATGGGCAACAGAAATTGACCTAGATTGGGAGAGAGAGAGAGAGAGAGAGAGAGAGAGAGAGAGAGAGAGAACCGAAAGCTGGGTGGGTAGGAGGAGAAATGTTTGAGAGGAGCTAGTGGAGGGAGCTGATGTGATCAGAATATGTTAGCAAAATTTTCAAATAACTAAAAATGAAAAGAAAAAGGAAAGGGGAAAAGGAATGCTGGAATTTCTTCAAGTTCCACAGATTTAGTGAAAGTGGCTTGCTTTTGGCTTCTCTCAGGTAGAGAACTCCTCCATAACACTGAGAACCACATGTGGCCCCTGCTGGGTGCTGCAGAGGGACCGGTTCTGTCCAGGGGTGTGGTAACCCAGACTTCAGTGGGGTCCGTTAGTTCCCTTAGACACGGGTGGATGCTTCTGACTCCTTTAATCACAAACACGGTATAGCTCAGGCCCAGGGCTGGTATAATGTTGGTAGTTTCAAATCACAACTTTTCTCAAAACAACCATGAAGGTCAATTCATCGTTGAATTAATTTAGAGTTAAATTCAACATTCCAGCACATTGCTTCCTTTGTTTTTGTGCTTGAGGTATGGTCTCATGGAGCCCAGGCTAACTCTAACTCCTTCTGTAACTGAGGGTGATTGATCTCAAATGCCTAATCCTCCTACCTCAATCTCCCAAGGACTTAAGTGACAGGAACCCAGTGCTCTGCCTGATTTCCAAAGCACTGGGGATCAAACGCAGAACTTGAAACATGCATGGCCGTCTGAGCCTCGTCCCCAGCCCTGGGGCATCTTCCTTACAAAACTTACCCGTGCCTTCCCTGAACTGTAGCGCTCAGATGCAGTGTTGGGATCATCAGTAGAATAACCTGACCCTTATTAAGCCGGAGACCTATTAAAGAGAGTTGAGCCAACTGTCCACGGTGCTAGAGCATCTGACTCGGGAGCCGAGCTCATGCCTCTACGTGTTCTGGCCACAGACCGCGATGGCAAAAAGGGCTTCTGCCTGTGCTTAGTTCTGCTTCGGAGAAAGGGGGGCGAT